ACTTCAAGGCTGTTGTTCCCATGGTTCAACATAGATATTTGACTTAGTTTTAGTCTTAATCATATTCATATGATCGTATCAATTCCCCAAAAGGTGGGTCTAAAACCACACTTTGGGGAATTGATACGATCAAAGCGTCTTTTCATTTTCATACTATTAGTAATATACTTTGGATTGATAGTTTTAAATATATTTTTTTAGGTTTAGTTTAGTTAGTGAACTATTATTAAATTTTTATGAGAATAAAGTTATTTAACTTCTTTAAACCTAAATGAGTTTTTTTTCAAAAACTGAAACCGATTTCGATGTGTTGAATTTGTTTTTACCGCTAGTTATAACAGTAGGTTGTGGGTGCCAACGCAATGATTTCGGAGGTGAATTACTTAGTATGTAATATTTCTCCTTGTTATTACCGCCGAGGACTCTCGACAAAGACAAAAATATTTTAATCGGAGCTCTGTAATATATAACGAAATCGATAAAAATGGTTTAAATATTAAACAAAAGAGGCTTTTATTAATTAATTTTGTGATTGATGGAATGTTAAAATATGTTATTTTGTTTATATAACGTAGGCATTATGTACCTATACTCAGGTAAGTTAAAAGGTAAATCACCCACGTGCGACTGATCTTTTCAGTGTTTTTTTTTTTTTTTTTTTTTAAGTAACAACTTACTCTCGGTTTTGATTTCACTGCGAAATGTGAAAAAAGAATCAGTTAATTCACGTATGTAAGTAGTTATTATCAATTTATTTAGTATGTCTAAGTTACTATACAAAAAATAATTATTTTATTTATTATTATTTATTATTTATTACCTTCAGAGGCGTGTACAAATCATAAAAATGGAATATGAAAATCTTCCTAATGGTACAAAAAAGTTAATCCTTAGCGCACATATTTTTCTTAATTTTATTCTTCGCTGGAAACCTAGAAAGTACGTACAGTTTTTGGAGTAATAACTATTGTTCTTTCTAAGATTATTTAGGCATCAATGATATACATATGTTCTGTTAATGTAAATAGTGTTGGACAAAAATCTATACTAATATTATAAATGCGAAAGTAACTCTGTCTGTTAGTCTTTTCTTCGCGCCTAAACTACTGAAACGATTTCTGTGAAATTTGGTGCAAACATAGTTTGGAAGTCGAGAAAGGACATAAAATAGTTTTTATACCAAAAGCGGGCAGAAGCTAATAGTCTTATAATTTATTTTGACTAATAGTCTGAAATCGCCAATCCGCTTTGTGTAAGCGTCGTGGTCAATACTTACACCTTCTTTGTATGAGAATAAGCCTTTGAAAAGGCGTTTGATGATGATATCTTTTTAGTTTTGCTTAAATAAATAAAATACATGTACGTATTCTGAAACGTCCATTTTCCGATTTAGATTATTATACAAAATTAACAGAAGCAATTTTTGCTGTTTTTCTTAGATACTTTTGAGGCATTGTATAAACGAATAACATTTTTGCTAAATAGTAAATAATGGACCGGAGCTGTGGCACACTACGGCGTTTGAACTCGAACGGTGCATAGCGTTCCGCGTGCTTCAAAGATCAAATAGACCACCATAGGAGGGGATAGGGCTGATATTCAACCAGGGTTGCGGGGTAAGCGCAATGTGACACTGCGGCCTCGGCCTAAAGCAGGAGAAGACGCGGGGGTGTTTTTAGTCAGTAAGAGTCTGACACTCCCGACTTGACTTTCCCGTGACAAAAAAAAAAACTCGCAGCAACCCCTCATATCATACAAGTACCTTCATTAATTAGTTTGTAATAAAATAAGGTATCAAATATTTATGGTTTATTAACACCGATTAAAGTAAGTTTTTAATAATAAATAATAATATAATTACAATGGAGGGTTTCTTTATTTATTGGTTAAGTTGAACACGACAATGTTTGGAAGTATATAATGGACTGAAAATGGCTTTTTATACTTAATGTTTTAGCTTTTTCAGGTGAGATAAACGCAATTAATTTGGTGGGAAGTTTGCTCCGTCAAAAAAATAATTCTTTCAACTTATTGAACAACATATAAATATTAAAAAAATAATCACACGGTCATCAATAAATTGCATATAAATATTTTTTATTGTATTTTTTTTAGATAATTTAAGAAAAATAATATATTGACTTATAAAAATAAGACGTCATAATGTGCTATGTCATAAAAAATCGTAGATAGATTTCGTTTTTTATTACTTGGTTTTTTAAATTGATTAGTTGGTTATGCTATTATAGCATAGAACATAGAAATAATTGCTTTTGACTCTATCTAGTAGATTAATTAAGATATCGGACATGTATTTTTCTGTTTTAGCAAATAAAAGGAAGATTTCTTCACCTAGCCTGTACACTTTTCTTTCGCATGGTGAAAGCAGATTTAGAATACATATATAAATAAGACACGAACGCTTTTCTTATCGTGGGTGTGAAATCACTAACCGATTTAAAACTTTGGATTAGTCGTTTTAAATTACTTTTATAGAGTTTTCTTCAAAAATGGTTTTATATATTGAATTAGTTTTAGCCGGTAGATATAACAGACGGTTGTGGGTGCTAACGCGATAATATACTTCTGCCTGGCTTGAAGCAAGAGATGATGAGGTCGTTTTAAAACACGAAGAGACTGATACTCCTTCTCGCCCTACCCAGACTGAGTGGAGGACCAAAAAAGACATTTAAATTTAACAGAGACTCTCCAGCAGCGGTCTCTGATTAATCTGAATCCCTTGGACTGCGATTTCCAATCAATGTTTTCGATGGAGATTAAGGCATACCTATATCCACGCTTGAATAATGACTAAAGTCTGGTGTAGTTTAGACAGCTGCAAATAAATAGAACCTGTTTTACTATCTTCATTTCAGGTCCCAATAAAATAATGTGGCACATAATACATACAAACTGTGATCTATATTCAAATATATCCGGGGCATACTTGCTATTAAAAAAAAGACGTGGAATAGGACTTTAGCGTTACAGCATTAGACAAGAAGATGATGTGATTTTTTATTACTAAATAATCAGTATTAATATTTATTTATTTATTTATTTATTTATTTATTATTGCTTAAAAGGTACATTTTACATTATAAAAAGTATAAAATGTCCAACAAAACTGTATACACAGTTTGTCTGTTGGATCAGATTTCAAAAACTTAATAGAACCTATAGTAAGTCAATAGGACTTACTATAGGTATTTCGTTGTTACTATTTGAGGTCTCAACTCGAAATACTAAGAAACAATTAATATTTTGAAAACTAGTATTTGGTTTATATTTATAAACGAAATATTTTTATAGTTTTCCAATAGTTTTGGGTTTATTTAGAAATACATAGCTAGACTTTTGGAGTAATAAACATTTATAAATAGTAGATGAATTTCCACTAAGCAAATATTCATGTCATATATTATGTATAGCCAACTATAGTGAATTTTAGTCTATACTAATATTATAAAGAAGTAAAATTTGTAAGTCTGTATGCAGGGGGTAACCTTTGGAACCGCTGGTCGGATTGCTAAAATTCTTTCACTGATAGATAGCTACAATGTTCCTGAGTGCTATAGGCTCCAATCAAAAGGACCCGAGCAGCGGCTGAAACCGCGCGAGTGTTGCTAGTATTAAATAATAACACAATGTCTGATTATGTTTATAAGAAAGAAAATAAAAGAAAGATTCGTTTATTTCTTATTAAACTTTACTTCTATGACTGTAGAACGTCAATAATTCAGCGATCTCATAATCTGAAAAGGCTAAATGGCGTATATTACTTTTGAAATCAGTTTTTTTTGCATATTATTTGCTATTTTTTCTAAGTAAGTATTATTTCTGGGGGCGACTATTGAAATAGATATTAATTGTTTTGAGTTATTATTATCCTTTATCATACCCATGTTCCAATCACCGGCAATTACCAGTTATATCTTTGTAGAAGTATAAGTTTTGTTGATCACACGTCATCATCAGCTTATAAGTGCTTACTGCTGCGCAAAGGCCTCTTCTCAAACGGAGAAGGTTTGAGCATTAATCACCACGCTTGCTTAAGGCGGATTGCCGATTTCAAACTTATAATTAGAAATCACAAGTTCAGGTTTCCTCCCGTTATTTTCCTTCACCTAACCCCATATTTTTTTGTAATGATAATTCTAGATTCTTAAAAATATGGAGTTGTACAATCACAAATTTAAATTAATATATAGGGTTATATTTCGATGTTTAATTCTTCGAAAATCGATACTGATTTAAATTGTCCTCCTTTAAAGGGTAAGAATAACTGCAGATAAGTCACTATTAACCAGTTATAAACCACTAAGCAATAATTTACTATAAATTTTTTACATTAAATTTAAAAACAAAAATCTGAAACTAAACTATTATTAAACTTCTCATAGAATCAACTGCTTTTAAAACGAGCCATTCATAAGCTTATGGAAAGTTTTTTTTCTAGCATTATTAAACCCGTTCAGAAAGTGTCTCGAAGCCTCTTTGACGTAAATTAAAAGACTGCCGTCTTTAAGAAAACTGTTGCACTTTTCATTCAGATGATGGATAACTACGTTTTTCTTAGTTAAAGTTTTGTAGAAATATGTTAAGGGTTGTTAAGTTTGTTTGTGAGTTTCCTTTTGATATTGAGTTGTAAAAGATGTAATGCGCTTTATTTATTAGTTTTTTTTTTTTATAAAGTTATGCATTGAGCTTTCCCTTTTGCATTTGTAACTGGATACAAGTAATTAATTTACATTTGAAACTATTGGATAGTAACAATTAAAAAATATTTTTTCAAAAAATATAGTTTTAGTAATTCGAATTTTTAGTAAGTAATAAATTATTTTTTTCTTTTTTTCTAAAAAAAGAATTAGATACAAAATTTATTTGCAATAACAAAAATTCAAAAAAATTACACCCTCTATTTCAGACTGATTATTTCAACACCCTTTATAACCAGCGTAAAAAATAGATATACATAAAAAAAAATGTTGCGTACTTACATCTGTCCGTAAGTCCGTCCGCACAGCTAGCGAGAAACAGGTATCTACTCGGCGATACCACATCGCCCTCCCTTATATACCGCAACGGGCTAGCACTCGTAAACGACCGACGCTAGATTAAAAAGTATTATGTGTTTTATAACGACTTGCATGGGACGTCATAACACATTATATTTCTTAGGCTATTGTATTATCGAAATTGGGAGTATGGCTTGAGGTTGAGAAAATGTTTGATAGTGGTTTGTTTTTGATTGGAAAATTACTTAGCGGAACATTTATTAAAAAATTTTAAATTGTATATAAAATAATTTAAATACTAAATTATAATAATTTATAATGTTAATTTCATTTATGCATTCGAATAACAGACGCGTTAGAAAACAACTTTTTAATTTTATTTTTTAACAAAATATATTTTTTGTAGCAATTTATTAATTATATTATGATGCAACCTCTTTTCGTTTCCTTTTCGTATCAAAATTTTGTTAGACATATAAAGCAGTCATGTTTTGTCCATTATTATTATATTTGTCGTGTAACAGTAATGTCTTATGGGCTACTTGTAAAAAAATTGTTTTATTGTTTCATTATTATTATGGAAAAATATATTACTGAATTTCATGAGGCAGAAACTTCTTTAAAAACATCGGTCCCAAGAGATGCACGTTATTTGTATTGATTTTTCCTTAAACCTGACTTCTGTGTTCACTCACAAACAGGAAGCAAGATTTCCTAAATTCTGGGATAACACGGGTTTGGGAATCCGAAAAAGTTGTCGTTGACCGTTGGGTTTTTCAAATCTCGAGTAAACATGTAGGCGTGCTCCATCTTCGGCCACATCATTGCTTAACATCAAGCAAGATATTATAAATTTGAAAAAAGAACATTTTCCCGCTAATGTGATAGCCAATCTATGTTCTAAGTTTTGAAGCTGGAATAACCAAAAAAGATTATTAAGTCTTTTTGATTATTCATAAAATACTTACTAGTATGAATAGATTCTGCAATTATGTTTAGTCTAAGGCAAATTCGTCGTGTTGGTTCAGGAGGTTAAAGCACCTGTTTCCTCCGACTGCGGGTGCGAGTTCGAAACCAAGTTCGAAAGTTCCAATGTTAATGTTCCAAATTTCATATGTGCATTTTCTTTGTGTATTTAGACACTTTTGGCACACGGTGTTGGAAAACAATGTAAGGAAACCTGAACTTAAAAATTCTAATTATAAGTTTGAAATCATCAATCCGCTTTAAGTAAGCGTAGTGAATAATGCTCGGGCAGTGGGTATTTATATGTTACATACATATGTATAGTCATGTCATATATTTGTATGTTGATGTGGTGCTTCCCCGCATGGCATAAGTTCATCTCCTTTTACACGAATCTCCTTTCAAACTCGAAGAATGTATTCCAATTGTTTTTCTTAAAAAGGCACTTTTAAGTTTTAACACTTCAATGTTTAATTGTACGTTAGTCTGTAGTTTGTGAAGGTTATTCTCCTGAAAACATGACGGATGAAAAAAAACCTATTGGGGACGTAAAAAATGAGTTTTCATTACATAGCACAGATAACAATAATAATTCAAAGTTTATCAAAAATTGATTGAGATTCCAAAATTGGTTCATACGTTATTTTTTTTTGTAATTTAGAGAAACGTCGGAGAAGGTTACATTATATATTTATAAGAAAACTATGTATGGTAATATACTAAATTTGGTAGTATTTTAATATGAATAAAAATATTAACGTTTAGATTGAAAATTTTGATTCTAATTGACGAACTGGAGCCGAATGATTACTTAAAAAAATATATGAAAATTTAAAACGTATTAAGTCTTTGATTGGATATTAAAAAAAACGTACAGATATTTTTTTTTTTTGGTAAAACAAAAGAATTCTTAGGGGTCTCGCTACGGCACCACTCATTTTAAAATGTACTGAATCATGACGTCATGCTACACTTAAAATCAACATATCATCGAAAGTATGTGCTTGCATAAGAAAATTAAAAATACGTGGTTTATGTTTTAAATTATTCTACCATCGGGACGTGGAGGCCGGGAGATTATTTCTTTCTAAGTTTATATAAATACCACTGGCAACGGGAAAGGATTCAAATTATTAGTATAAGCAAGCATGTTTATATATAGGTATTGCTCATCCTTTCTTCGTATGAGACGAGGATTTTGCTCAGTTGTGGGCACATATAGACTGTAATAATAATTACCAGATGGACATAAAAAAAAAATTATTCAATATCCTTATTTCCTTAAAAAAAAAGATTTTGTTCCGAAAATTATTTGTTGCTAATCTTACTGCGTTAAAATATTCTGAGTAATGGGGTGAATTCAAATTGAGAATGAAATACATATTGTTGACTTTTTCTATGTTGGTAAAGAGATGGTAAGTGTGTGTCAAGCTAGGACTCGAGTTGGATTCCAAGTTTCCACAAAGTATCGGTTTAAGGATAAGGATTGGTTTTTTTCCTAAATTTCTCAGTTCTTTCTTGGCGTCTGGAGGTTTACTGCACCCAGTTAAAGGTTTACACTGGGTGCAGTAAACCTCCAGACGCCGAGCATCACCATTAACATAAAAATGGAAAAAGAAAGTAAGATCAAATCCAGTTTAAGCCTTGCATAGGAGAAAGACTCAAATAAAACCTATTTTTAGTATGTCACTAGAGATAAACTTTGAACATTCACTTATTATTGGCTACAGTGGGCGGGGTAGCGGTGCGTAGGCGCGTGCCGGCCTACGAGATCTCGTAGCCAATGGCGTAGAGCCTCGTAGCGCGTAGGCCGTAGTAAGGAAACATGTTAAGAATCACAATGCCTCCCCTTTTGTTATCACATTTAGTAACTTTTATACCCAATAGGTGAAGAAATTAAGGTTTTGTGTACAGGTATTGATTTTGAATACATACAGGCATCGCAATTTTATGGTTTTATTCATATTCATTCAACTCAAAGGTTACTGGAGTCGATATTGTTTTTGACGTTCTGATTTGTTTAATGAAATCTTCTATAGTATAATTACATGTGCAACAAAACGAAGCCATCTCTTAGAAAATTACAATGTATGCGATTCGAAAAAGGTATAAAGAATTCGGGTAAATTAAGGAACTTTAATTAAAATTTAAAATAATGCCAAGGCGATAAATCAATCGCATTACAGTTTCCGCCATTACGGCTGACATCACAATCAAATTAAAAAATCTGTTCAATTTTATACAAAACACAACCGCAAAAGTCTGATCGTCGAAAACCGCAGACGGATTCCCGATGGATTAGCGATTCACACACGCTCATTTTCATCGCAAAAGAGTCGGAAGGGTCGAAAATCTTTTTGTGTGTATAAAAAGCAGGCATTGTTCCCAAACTAAGTTTTGGCTCGTGACTTCATTCGCATAATATATCATTCTTTTGCACTTTCTTTGTTGTTCCAATTTTATAGGAATAGTAAATTTTAAGCGTGGGAGAGCCATACTCCAAATGGGTTGGCCCAACAGGAGTGATACCACGGCCTCACAGAATACCGGCGTGAAACAACACTTACGTTATGTTTTTCGTGTGAGTGAGATTATTGGAGGCTCAATCCTTTCCCCCATTCTTAATCCTCAAATCATCTAACCTCAAATTTGTACTCCTTTGGTATTTCAAGTGTCAAAGGGCGGCGCCGATTACTTACCATCAGGTGATAAATACGTACTAACAGGTGATAATACGATGACACGTATGCACTTTTGCCGACCTATCCCTTAAAAAAGTGATTATCTTGAGACATACTAAATTTATTGAAAACTAGCTTAGCCCGCGTGGTATGTTGATAAAAAGTAGCCTATTACATATTCCGAGTGTATCCAACGCCTGTGCCAAATTTCATCCAGATCCGTCCGGTCGTTTTGGCGTGATTGAGTAACAAACATGCGAACATCGCAACTTCCGCATTTATAATATTAGTACTCAAGACTTACTCATGTGAATCGACTGAGAAAAGCTCCACAATTTCAATCCTTGATATTTTTAACTGTCGTCTACAACATTAACTGCGAAAAATTAAAAATACTTGTCCACAATAACATTACTGGCAAAAATCGTTAGCTATCTTTTGATGGATAAGAACGGGATTATTTTATGATGATTAATTATTAATATACAGTTCGTTATAAAATCACTTAAAAACAAGGCTCGCTGAAGTTTGTTATTCAGACTGTCTTTTGTCACCACAAAGTGTTGATTCAAGTTAGGATTGTGTTTGTAAAGGCGTATTTTGTAAATCAGTTGTTATTAAGTATTTATCATGGTCTAACTTTTATTTTGGACATTTCATAATTAGTACTTAGACATTTATAGACTATACTACTATACTATACTAGACTATACTATACTATACTATACTATACTATACTATACTATACTATACTATACTATACTATACTATACTAGACTAGACACAGTCTAGTACTCCCATGTACTCTTCTAAACACATTGAATATTTTTGAGGGTTAAAGTCATCATAATACTTCTCTCACTGGTGCTCAATGGGGCAAGACCGAATGTCCCTCATTACTTTTCCTGCTCCAGGCAGAGGCCGTGCTTATAACCTCTAACCCACTGAACTCAACAATGGTTGAGTGTCAAGCTCCAGGGGCGCTGGTATTCTTGACTGGGTTGGTTGAATGAAAGACTTGTGAATGTTAAGACTGTAATAGGCTCTGGTACAATTTTACTGGCGTGTGTTACGAGCGCGGTCCGAACCAATATGGTCGGCGACCCACTGTTGACGTCACATAAAGTGGTGTAACCAGCCCGGCGTTAAACCGGATGTCGCGAACAACAACCTAAACTTACACTTTCTAAACAAAACTATGATTAGCCTATTTTTATTAGGTCCCTATACACATTTGTTTTTTTAACAACTAACTAAGTAATTAAGAATTTATTCTAACGTAAATAAAATATTAATACCAAGAACAAGAAGTTTTAAATAAAACCTGCATATTAAATAACGATGTGATAAAAAAAGATACGTCAAAGCGATATCT